GGTCCATATGTGATATGTAGTACGTTTTTTTGTGGGTCCTTTCCTAATTGCCATTATTTAATTCAACTCTTATTATATTATTGTTATTAATATTTAAATTAAATAAATCTAAAACAAACCGCTAATTTAGCCATTCAAGCGTACTAGAAGAGAAATCAAGAAAATATCACACAAAAGGACAAAAGGCCAGAGACACAAAAACAAAACAAAGAGAGAGGGAAAAAGGGTGAGAGGTGGAAAAAAAAAAAAGCAGAAAAAATGGGGTTTGAAGGGGAAAAGAGAGAAGAGGAAGGAGTAGTAATGGCTAATGATTTCTTTTGGTCATATACTGATGAACCTCATGCTTCTCGTAGAAGGCAAATCCTCTCTCAGTACCCTCAAATTAAACAGCTTTTTGGCCCTGACCCTTTTGCCTTTCTCAAGGTATATATATTTATTTATGCCCATTTTTTATATACATTTATGGATAAAGTTCAAATCTTTATGTATGAATTAGTGTTAAATTGGTGTGAGTTTGATGCATTATTGGTTTTGCTTCATGGGGTTGTCTTAGATCTTAGATAATTATTGTGGTGGTGGTTGGGTGGGGGTGGGGGTCAAAATTTGAATCTTTATACTGCCTCAATTCCACTTTGTTTGACACTATTTTATTATTAGTCTTTTGAATGACACATTTCTAAATTGTCTTAATAGTTCATTCAATATTAAGTTTGGAGTAATTGAGTTCCAAAATGGGAAATCTTTATACAACCTTTTGCCTTTTTCAAGGTATATACCCATATTTATAGAATATATATGTATAAAGTTGAAATCTTGATGTATAAGTTAGTGTTGGATTTGTGTGAATTTGATGCAGTAAAAGGTTTTGCTTAATTGGGTTGTCTTAGATCTGGGATAATGTGGGGTAAAAGATTGAATCTTTATAATATTACTTCATGTGCCACAGTTTTTGTGGCACACTTTTCTTTTAGTCTGTCCTATAAAGAATAACACCTTCTTATATTGATAAATAATTTACTTTAAAATTTAGATTTTACCCATAATGAGATAATTTATAACCGCAAATATGTTCAAGTGTTTCTTTTTGGGAGAGAGAGGGGGAATAAGGGTGTCCTAGATCTGGGATAATGTGTGTGTGTGTGTGTGGGGTAGGGGGGG